CCTGGACAACTTAGAAACTCAAATTACAGTTGCCTTTGCTATAAATAAGAATTTTTATGACTTCTTTTTAATGACGTGAGATGTAATAACATTTACTATTTATAGTCCACTACAAAATTTTTTTACTTTTGCTTTAAAGCAGGAATGTGTGGGGTAATTAAATAACTATTCTAATGGTGTTTTTATGTTAAAAAAAATAGATCTTGAATTTTGAGGAAGAATTTAAATCAAATGTATATTAAATGATTGTAAAATTTGAACAATATGTTTAAGATAATACAAAAATATAAATCAATATTTTAATTTTTTTTAACTATATTTAATTGTTTCTCGATGATCATTTGAACTCCTAAATCTTCTAAGAAAATAAAATTGTTATTATATAAATGTTCGGTTTGTAATAGTGAAAAAACTTGTAAATAAAGTTATTATATTTATTTTTACTTACGACTCATTATATTAAACATAATTACCTTTATGTATTGTAAACTATAAATGCAAATGGAATCCTGCTAAAACTCATATTTTGTAGTAGTACTACCTATTTATTTTATAAATAGAATTAGGGATATTTATTTGAACTAAGGTAAAATTTAGAAAAAAATGTCTTCATGATTTCTTTACAATATAATATAATTTTCTTCATAAAATTGAAGGGATACACTATTTCTATGTCTTGCCATTACTTTTTTAATATTAAAGCTCGCCATGAACGAACGTAGGCTAGACTAAATAATTTTTATCCCTAAGTAATTTACTGGAAATTTACTTCAAATATAGATGATGGCTAATGAAAAGTAGGAGCATAAAAAATAATGTTGGTTAAATTAATGTGAGATTACCAACTTATTTTAAAATTAGATTTATGTAGACATATCCCCAGATACTCGGCATTGTGTTATCGATGAAAAAACGAAAGTTAAAACAAGGAACATCTGTTTTTTTTATAATTAAGTATTAATTACTAATACAATATATATAAATAGGATACTAACCATAAGGAACATAGAATTAATTTGTACCATTTATTAAATATTTATCGAAAAAAAAGTTTTGCCTATATTTTGTAGTTATTATATTTCTATTAAAATTAATTATTATGCTCTTACTCCCTTCACTATATAATATTAAATAATAATTTTAATAAAATTTGTCATTATATTTTTTATAAAAATTTACATTTTAATATGAAGAGAAATCATTCTGACAAGTCATTTACAAAAACTAATTTTAAGCTCTTAATTTGAAGATTATAACATACGCAATTTACAATAATTAATATAAATAAAAAATATCGATGGCTCTAAAAAGAGCTTATAGTAAAAATATACCTAAAAAGCATGTATAATTATGTTTAAAAATTTCTAATTGTATTTTTTGTTTTAGGAAGATTGACTCGCGTTTTTCGTTTGTAATGTTAAAAATTTTACGTGCTAAAATTTTAAAAGAATATGTTGATTGGGAGAAATTACCATTAGTTGAGATGACTATGGGTTGAAAAATAAAATTATTTAATATTGAGTATTTATTGATTTTTTTATTTTCGCCATTAGTAAGAGGATTTGAATTAATCGATGAGGAAAAGGAAGAGACACAGGTAGCGTCCCAAATTAGGGATTTCCCATTGGACCATGGGATGCAGGTTAAACCGTCAGGTCTGAGACCATCTTGTAGAGAGAGGTTTGTTGGTTCTAGAATGTTAGGAATTTTAGCTTTATTGAGAGCATTATGGATGATTTTATTTATTGCTTTATGCCGGAGGTGGCGACCTTGGCTACGGGAGCAGTTTAGGCCGTGTCTTGCATTTGGTTGTACGGGTAGGTTGCAAAGGTGGCAGGTGTGTGAATGTGTTAGCGAGCATCCAAGTCTAAATCCTATGGTAACTCTTTAATTTTCAACTCTAAAAAGAATATTATAAATTTTTTTTTAGTATTGATAATTTAATTTTCAACTCTAAAAAGAATATTATTTAAAAACATTAAAATTATATTATTTAAATAATATAATTCGTATAAAAACGTTGCCCTTATGTCGAAAACTCTCTTTAAAATTTTTTTTAGTATGTCCTGTCTAATTACATATGGGTGTGATCTGAAATTGCTTCAACAATACTAATTTTAATTCCAGACAGATCTGTTCCCTAACCCATTTAAAAAAATGGTGAGACCCTAATACCCTTAACAAATTTATCATGTTTTAGACAGACTTCATTTATTATTATATTTTTTTTGTTATCGTAAAATTGAACATATTCTTTTTATTTTAATAATTTATTTTTTCCCTCATTAAAGGTGGAGCCTTGGATTTAACTAATTTTTAAAACTTATTTATGTTTTAGCCCATTTCTAATTAGATTTTAAACCGAGGGTATTCTATTTTAGTTTTTATAGTGTGTTTATTAAATAAGTATTGCAAAGATCCACAAATTTAGCAAGAAATATCCCTCAAGAATATCCACTCCCATCTCTCATCAACAATTGTTTTTTTTTGTGTGAAGCCTGCTTTATTTACTGCTACCTGCTGCAGCAAAGCCTTTTATTGCAGCCAATCTTGCAATTATTCTGACTGGAGTCGGCACAAACGATTTTGTCCAAACTTCTTTCCAGAATAATCTAACGGGGTATTTCCCAATGGGATCTTTCCCAACGCCAATCAGTTTTCCAATTACAATTTTTTTTGCATAGAGGATGTTCAGACACTAGTCAATCGAGATAGATTGTTACCTTTCCACAATATTGTGTTGCCAATTTTATATTTCGTTCTCTCCGAAAACATATATTCACAATTGTAAAATGATTCGGACCCGCCATCTACGAGTGATTATTATCATTACAATAAAAAAAATATTTTAATTACCTTTTATTTGATACCCATATCAAAAAAAAAACTTTTTTGCCCCCGACCCCCATATTCCATCCACTTTCAAGTCATAATCATCAAGCATAAAAAATGAATAATTTCAATTTAAAAGATATTTAAATTAGCTTTAATTTAATACTCCGAAATTTTATTTTGATAAAAATATTCCTGACCCCCCTAGACCTAGACCCGCAAACTATGAATAATTATTATTAATACAATCAAAAAATATTTTAAATTACCTTGTGTTTGATACCCATTTCAAAAAATTTTTTTTATACCCCCGCACTCTACATCTACCCCAGACCAAATCATACCCATCAAGACCAATAATGAAGACTTTCAGTCAAAAGATATTAAAATTAGCTATTATTTTGATACCCATATCGATATTTTATTTTGATAAAAATATTCCTGACCCCCTAGACTAGCCCAATATGGGGAAGATAGATCTTTTTGATTAACTATCGATTGATACACTACATTAGACATATCTTATTTCATAAGGCCAAAAAAAACAAACATTGAAAATTAATAAATAACAATAAAATTAAAAAAGAAAAAAAACGAAACGCGCATAAAACGCTTTTTAAAAATAAGATTTCTCTTTATCACGATTAAATGTGATAATACCGTATAGTTCTTTATCCTTTAAAAAATTGAATTCTTAACGGGATCCCTTTAAAAATTAGGACACATATATTAAAATAATTGGATCTAACACTCCCTAGAATCTCTTCTTTTCATCGGATAGTAATCCTATTCCCAATATCTTTATCACTTTCAGGTTTTAATTTAACGCGCCTCACTTCCGATGAATTAATAAACCAATTAACACTCTAACCTCCAGAAAGCTTTTTCGACATGGGACACTAATATATTACCTAACAGACTTCTTCCAACAAGTTTCCTCTAAGAAGATTGGGACTCTAATAATTGCGCGTTTCGTCAATTTTTCCTTTCAAACACGAAATCAAAGTTATTCTAATTTTTCTTTTTATCAAAACTATAATGTAATGGCTCGAAACCATCCTCTGTTAAAACTTAACACATACCTCTCTCATACTCCCTTTGCTACACTCCGGTTAACAGCAAAAGCCATTATTACTTACACTGCAAATTTTCTAAGGGTAGACACCCCCGCCACTGAGCAATCAACAACCTAATCCACAAGGTACTACTATTAACAATATTCCTTCCACCTTAGAGCTAAAATCGGTCTAAAAATCACTCAACAATCAGATGGAAAAACTCTTCCTCCTTCAAAGGTTATTTCTGATATGGGATTATACCTGTATGGACGCGTTTGCAAAATCGACTGCATAATATGCAGTCATTGCGGCTGTCGAAACATCCAAACGTAACAAATATTCCCGAATTAATTTGGGAATTTGGCCCTATTTTTAAAAATATTAAGCATTAACTTCAACCCAGGGTCCTAAAGAAAATTTAAACCCTGTTACAAGAATATCTTTCGAGATATGTAGATTTAATTTTATCTCCATTCTCGTTTCATGCTTTACAATATATCATAATCCCTCACCTGTTTTTTTAAATATTTTAATATAGATAAGTTTTAATATGTTTTTTTTTACGTTTAAAAACATATTAAACAATTAATAGTTATAATATTAACAGTAGATATTCATCATCTCGATATCATCCTTATCTTAAATTATCCTCTAATTTACATATTTACAGATAGCACGAATTAGTGACGAAGCTTACAAAATATGTTGTATTTTTGTATATCTTCGTATACTTCACCGAAAATACGCACTGCTAATGCAGTGTATCTAATTTAGCAGTGAGTGTTTATAATATGCTGTATTTTTGTATATTTAGTTGGATTCGAGCTAACTATACATGTAGAGGAATACACATAATAAATTGTAATGAACTAACAATATAAATTATGAAAAAATAGACATTCAAATTTTCAATTCATAAACTACCACAACAGTATGTTTTTTCTAAGCAGCTATGTCACGTAAATACAAAACTTTATATACAGAATGTGAAGTATACCAATTTTATTCCTCAATATTTTTAAACAACCACCTAGCTAATAATAATATATTTAAATTTAAAAATGCTTGTCATCTTACTTATTGAAATAATTAAAATTAAGACTCTTTTTTATTTTAAATAAGCTATAATTATAATAAATAAAAATTTAGGCGTTAATATAATTTTTTATATCATTTCCCCCATAATTTCTCAAGATATTATCTTTAAATTTCTTGAAATGGTAGTTATAATTTATGAAATGCGCCCCAAACCCCATCGGGTGTAGCTTCGGTCTGAAAAACGTGGGTAATATCTGAATATTTAATTTTTAATTATAAAATAAATATTAGCATTGAATTTAAATTAAAACAATTTCAAACTTTGTGCGATAACTGTACCCCAAGCCGTGTATCCAGCTTGTCTCACATTGTCTGAATCTTCGTTTATTTTTATAAAAATTATAAATTTTCTTAGTCATGATACATGATTTGATAAGTTTATAAATATCAACACTCATAACATCTAAGAGCGGGGTGGTGGTCAATTTTCGAAAAATTAGTTAATTATAACTAGAATTTTCTTTAATTTTTTTGCTAATTTTTAACAAAATTTCCTCGTTTTTTTACGGGATTAATTGGGTAACAGAGGTTATTTCATTGCCCTATAATATGTTTTTGTTATAAAGTGACAATTGTCGCGTGTCATGAATAGATTGCATGAGATATAAAGTCTTGTCAGTTAAAATCTCATAACAAAATAATAAAATGAAAGCATGAAATCTTGGCTACATTGTGTTATACAAAATAATGGAAATTCATATAATCAAAAAAAAAACGAGCAGTATAAATTATCAAAAATTTAGCCTTCGATCGACGTTTAGTTTTTCTGGTCTCTATATATTTATTTTTATTAGAAAACATGAGGTAGGGTTAATAATATATTTTTATTTAACTATAGTTTATAATGAATATCTTTAACACAAATTTCTAGGTATATATATATATATTACCAAAATAATAATAGGGGACGGGGCACGTTTAGTACAGGGGAACATTAGTTCATTAATAAGAAGGGAAATTTGAGCGTAATGTAGATAATTACGTCAAACATTGTTATCTAAAAAAGATATGATAAATATTTAGAATTTTAATATTAACAGAGGAAAATGTTTTTAACATACGAAAAAGTAACAGAAAATAATTTTAAACCTTATCGTTTAGAATATATATATGAAGCTTTTAAAAATCTTAAAAACCTTATATTTTAATTTGGAAATTTTTAGGATAATAAAACATGTATTAATATTACTCTGAATGATATTTAAGAAGCTTGTGGACTATATGATGGTTTATCATGAGATAGTTGGTCCTATTAATTATTGTAAATTTATTTTTTAATTTGACTAAAACAAATGCGAAGTAATTTTTAATGGATATTTTTTTAAATAATATTTTATTTTAATTTTTTTATAAAAAATTCTGAAAATTATCTCCAAATTCCATTTAATTTACTTGATTATTGAATAATATGATATTTTAAATCCTATATTATTATAAAAACATTTTTTTTAAAAATAATTATATATTTAGATCTCTATTTTATTGTGGAACAACTATTACATGTCCCTAATGTAGGGGAGACTGGGGTTAGGTAAACCCCGGGGCTTGGCAAACCGTTTAATCTCATTTTAAAATTAAATACACCAGAAGGTTAAAATTTATCCTAATATAGTTTTCATTAGTACACATCTATGGACAAAATATATTTTGAAATAAATAATTAATAAAAATTTTATTTAATAAATAAAATTTTGATAAAATTTTCAAAAGATAATTACATTACAGAATTTTAATTTCTATTAAATATTTAATCAATTATATGTAAATTAAATTTTATTGAAAGTTTTAAACATTCTTCTATAATTTGGGTAAGTTTTATGAGTATTTATCGAATCTAGATATTATTTCAATCATGATTTGTCAATTTAGAGCTAGAGGGTTTGCTAAACCATACACGTCAATTATGGCAGTTAGTAATGAAAAACATTTCAAAATGAAAAGGCAATTTCATGACTGTTTATGATTGGTATTTAGGATTTATGCTAAGAAATCTTAATCTCTTCTTTTAAGATCAATTTTTATATATAATTAGCTTCTATTTATAAATATTATGATATTTTGAACAATAAAATAATAAAATTATTCTATACATATTAATAAAAAATGCATTTCAATTTAGCCTAAAAAAACCAATCGTTTAGGAAGCCCTTTGAAGTCGTTTGCCTCACCCCGCCATTGGGGCTTGTTGAGCAAAATTTTCACTTTTACAAAAAATAAAATTAAAAAAAAATGATTATATTCTTAAGATTTTTTATAAGGCACCTTTATAGAGTATAGTTTTAGGTATCCAATGTTATTTTTATATTATCTATAAAACAACAAGAGCTCGTAAAAATTGGTTCGACTAACCCCAGTCTCCCCTACCCAGAGTATGGCATGCTTAAAAAAATTTTTACAATTTTCTAAAATAAAAGTATCGTCATTACAAATATTTATTAATTATTTCAAGTAACCAAAAATTAATTCAATATTAGTAAATTAATTTAGGATTGAATGAAAAGTGGGCCATTCATCCCTGGTCTCTTCATTACTACTCCGATTTCACGAATCTAATATATTATATTATCATGAACAGAAAATATTCTGATTCGAATATTAATCTTTTATTTAACTATTCGAAATAATTATCGTGAATATTGAATAGCGAAGAAAAAAAATTTTGAATTGATGAATATTTGTTAGAAGGCAGTAGAACGATCTAGAACTTTGAAAATTATTATCAAGAATCTGTTTTGAGGGTCAAAAGATATAATATATATAAATTTGAAAAGTGGATTAAAATTCAATAAATGATTCCTTTACATTAATTTATATCAGACATACTTTCAGGCATACTGGATTGTGTTATCGAGCGGAAATGAATGCAAAAGCAATTAATATCTAAATTGCCATGATAAATATATGTAACTTAAATTAATTTTTTAAAAATAAAATAATACCTATTCATAGGAATAGAGAATTAATTTGTAACATTATAAGTTTATTAATAAATTAAACCAGTAATCTTTTATATAACACTATATCGAATGTAACCAAATATTTTTCTAACTAAAACTCTCAAAATATTTTGCTTTTAAGTTGTTTCCAATGTCCTTGATTTTCAAATTATATTAATTTTTATCATATTTTGTTTTGAATAATAGTATTAAGTCAATATTTTTTCCAATAATATGTTGTGTCTACATTTTTAGACAAACATATTTGTATCGCGCAGGGAAAATATTTTTATAAAAATTGATAAATTATATAAATTTTTAGCCAAAATAGGATTATAAATTATAATCAAAATAATTTTTTACTTAAATTGTCTAGCTTTTATAAGCCAATAAACTCTTTCTTACTTATAATAATAGTATGCCCTCTACAAATAAAAATATTTAGCCATGTCCTTGACCTTATATTTCTTCGATATTAAAAATACATTTTGCATAATTTAATTTTATATAATTGTCATCAATAATATTATGCATATATTACCTTAATGTAATTAGTAAATATATTTTCAAACTCGAAATATATTATTTTATTCTCTAATCTCTTGCCTATGATGAATCGTTTTGGTTTAATTTAATTAATCTTCAATAAACTCTGATATATTTATGTTTATATTGATTTATATTTTCAAATTATTTTTGAAAATGATTTAAATCACTTTTCAATTATAGTGTAAAAAAAATATGAATTAGAGAATAAAATTTATCAGGATTTAAAGGCATTCTTCTTTCATTTAATAGGTGGCCGATAAGTTGGAAAATTTAACTCGATACTAAAGATGCTTAAATGATAAAATATTTTATTTATGTAATGTTACTATCCACTGCATCATGTCCATGTGCCGGTTCTTCATGAATCATGTTCTGCTTGATAACTACCGCAAATGTGTCCTAGTTTGTTGCATTTATTGTTGTTGATTTGATAGTGCATATATTAGAATAATAGTATTTCTAGCAGCCCCTGTAAAAAAGAGTTACTGATGAGAACGGACCAGTTTTAGTTTAAACAAAACCATGGTAGTAAGCGGTTTAGTAGAATGTTTTTTAGCAATGAGTCTTCAGTTCAGAGCTTACTCGTAATCGCTAAAAATTTATTATATTTCAATATCGAATACTTAAAAAATTATCAAATTAAATATAAGCAATTCAATCAATTTTAGTTCCTTGAGAGAAATGATCATCCAAAGCAGATAGAACTTTATAATAAATAAGAGAAAACGATTATTATTAAGTAAAAATGTGTCACGTAGAGTCATGTCGTAAAATGAAATATCAAATGGAGATTAATTTTTTTTTAGCCTAATCTTAATGAAACATATTTCTATAATAACAAAATACGTTTTAATGTGTTAATTAATTAATTAGTTATTTATATTATATATATTTATTATTTCTAAATCTCTTAGCATATCAATTTTTACTACTTTTTTGCTAAAAGATTTAGACATTTAATAATGAATGATTTCTCTTTCTACGGAAAATAAATTTAAATTATGTTTAAATATAAGTATGAGTCCTTTTTAGGCTTTTAGGTAATTGCAATTAAAAAAAATAGTTAGCCATGATATTTTAACAGTATATAATAATAAGATTTTAATATTTTTTTGAAATATTATTTTATTTTATATAGTTTTTATAATGTTATTACATATGTTGTCATTATAATATCTCACAGATTAACCCCACTTTGTGACAATGATATAAATTTATCAGATTTACGTGAATAGAAAAATTTTTTTAAATTATTTCGAAATTGAATTTCTGAAAACATTTGCATGCATATACAGATGAACTCAGCTTCTATATGACAGAGATTTATCTGGAGGTAATGCCCCCATCCCCTCAGAAATCTATATTTATCTCTCTAAAAAATAATTCTACCGTTATGACCCCTCAATAGGTTTATCCTACCATCTTAAATGCTTGCTCCAACCCCTTCAGAAAACTTGAAATTCTCCTACCCCCATCCCCCCTCAGGCTCATGTAGAGGATGATTAGATTTTGGCGATGATTAGGAATGCATATATGTATATTAATAGGGGCATAATAAAAGTATTCATAAAATTCTACAGCACAATATAATGCCCTACACACTTAAAAAATTTAATTGGTGATTTCCTAATAAATTTTGCCTAATTCCTTTAGATTCCTATCATCTACCCGTCCTACCCTTCTTAAACGCCTAGTGATCTCTCTTAGAAAAAATGCTTGTAGACAATATTTCACCAAGTCTTTTTAAAATCAAGAATCGTACTTGTTTTAAAAACGAGACCCATTTCTAGAAAGAAAAATTTAAGTAAAATTTTTCATAATTATATCTGGAGAATTCACATCACAAATAGAACTTTGTTAATTCTTTTTATTCGATTTGTTTAAAGAAATATATAAAATTAACTTCTATTAGATCAACTTTGCCATACCATAAAAAATATTTGTTTATAAAGAGTAGTAGTAAGTGATAAGTAAAGGCGTTCAATAATCCATGGTTCTAAGCTTATAATTTTTAATATATTATTAATTATTTTTATAATTGAGGTATGATAGAAATTGTAAAGAAAAAAATATATAAAATAAATAAAGATATTAATTAACTTGTTTAATTTCCCCTCTATTTTTAAACTATTATAATATAGAACAATATAATACTCAACAATCAGCTCCGCCTTTGATTGGATCTTGACTAATAGTTCAAAATTTTTTTACGGGCTGTGCTAAATTCCTGATAAAGATTTTCCGCGGGTCGGATAAAAACAAGGGGCGTAATTGATAAAATGCTAATTTAGAAAGATCTGTTATTAAAGTTTTGTAATATTTATAATAATTTTTATATAGATGGCGTTAAATAATATGTAGTGTTGATTTTAGAACAGAATTGCAAAATGTTTAAAAAATAAATGTTTAAAGCATTTTTACTAGTAATTTAGAAATGTATCTAATTCTAATAACGCCTTTTAAAATATATATAAACTGTATAACATTATTTTGAGAGATATAAATACAAATGAATGACTATAAATGTGAGGCAAATTTATTTCTATAAGTTAAAAAATGATAAGAATACCTATATCAACTAATGTTAGGGTTTAAAGCCTTAACAAATTATTTAAATTCATTTGTTAAAATAATTTTTAACGCCAAATTTTATCAAATATTTCAATAAATGATGTATGATTATTATTATTGATTTACAAGATTTATTAGTTATTACTTATTAGATCCTTTGTACAACTCTGTTACTTACATCATTAATGATTCAATAAAATTATTATTCTAAGTTTTTTTTAATGGAATTAAGATTTAGTTTGTCATTTTTTTAACAAATTAAACCCAACAAATCTTACATCTAGCAGAATCAGTTGATGTTTGGCAAGTTGTTCCCAATATATCTGCATATTTTTTCCCGTCCTCTCCAGACTGTGTAGAATTAAATGGGGTCAACTTTTACCTTGTTCTCCAATGCTTTTCTGATTCCGAAACGTTTATTATACAATGGGTACTATTTATTTAATAAACCAAATATTGATTATTATAAAATATGTGGCATGGCCAAAAGAGCAATATAAAACGCCTAAACAGATTTTCAGGAATGGGGAAAGCATAACTAGTGACTTAAATCTATGTCAAAATCAGCAGATCCTATAATCATCATATCGGAGCTTTATGTACAATAAATTAAAGCTTGATATTTCGCTGAAGATAATTATTAATTACATAGTGATCTAAAATTTTTATAATTATAATTATGAGAATTCCATTGAAATTTATGTAGATTTCCTATTTTTCATTGAACTAAACCTGATATATTAATCAACTTAAAAATACTTATTCTAATTGTACACATGTTATAAATTGCATATATAAATATATACTTTTTTCATACATAGTACAATTTTCTAAAGTTATAACTTAACAATTTTAGAAATATTAAATGCTTCTCCTCATTATTCCAATAGGGAATTTTTTGCAAATAATTATATGATTATTTTCCAATATAAATTAATACTATAAATTATTTTAGACGAATAATTTCGAATAATAGATATTTTTCTTATTCTTAATCTAATTCGATTCGAATGTGCTATTCGATTTAGTAAAATACTCGTCGAATTGAATATAGAATAATGAATAATTTGTTTTAGGTGTAATTCGTGCGAACACAATGTGACATATTGTAAAAATCATTATTTATTTTTATTGCAATCCATATTAGAAAGATTTTCGTGTTATTAATAATTTTTACTTTCTAGTATATGTATAAAATCAGTGAATTCCTGAAATAATTCGGCTGATGATTTATGATGTTATTCCACTTGCTCTAACAAGGGCCAAAATTTATTAAAAAAACAATAATAACCCATTTATTATTCAATATTTATAAACGGAATCACATGGTATAATTCGATCACTATATAACATTCTCCAAGGATGGAACCATCTAGTTGGCTTTAGAAAACACATAATGTTTGCTAGATTCGAATCCAGAAATATCGGATTGTGATACACATACACTCAATCGACTAGGCCACAAGGCACTACACGTAAGCAAAGTTATTTAATATTTAAATATTACAATAATACAGTCAATGACAAAAGATCAGGGCCGAGCAGTGCAAATGCTACCCTCCCCTCCTCTACAGATCTCTCATATTTATATTCAAAATCTATGCTACTAGTGGAAAAGTAATTTATCGATATGGATATTCAGAATATAATACAAGAGGCTGATGGTATATAGGTATATTCGCGGAACTTTATCCAACCTATATAAAATGTAAGAAGTGTTATTATATGCGTGTGTTTTTATTTTCATATGATGGATTATTGTGTGGTATAAATTCGTGGTTGATTTACAGGCGTCGCATAACAAAAAATATAACGAATATATGTCGTTATTAATATATAATAATAATTATTATTATATTTTAAATGATTGAAACCTCTCGAGATCGAAATTTCAAATAAAAATTTGGTAAATTTGGGAATTTCATTTCTAAATTTTTTTTTCGAAATATTTTTGCGTTTTATTATATCATACTTCGTCCTTTTAAGGTAATTCATTAATATACTCATACTCCATTTTTGCAATTGTTTTTCTCCCTTATGATTTAGGTCTTATTAAATTAATCTCCAGATAAAGGAATGTTTGAACCCCACAGAATTAGAAAACTATCGTTACAACCTACCCACTGGTTATTTATCTTACTTTGTCTGACAACCTATTTTTATATACGATCCATGGTTAATACAGATATGACTGAACGCGATATACAATTGGTTGAGATCTTCCATTCTCCTTTTAATAAACCAATTTGTTTTTGATGCAGAAGCCATATAGGGCTTTTCAAAATCAAAATTTGAAAGATCTGACAAAATATTTCGTTTACATCCTTAGATAAAATAATTTTTACTTTTTCTAAATAAGAATCTTGGTATTTATATTTTTTTCTTCCAATGAACAATAAATTCTCGATCATGATATAACTAAAGATATAAATTTTAAGGATTAGACTTCCTCAAACAAATAATTATGTCTTCAGCAAGAAGACCATTCATTATCTAGATGAGAAAATGAACACAATTGTTGGATTTTTAAATTTTTCCATTCACCTTATGTAAAATAATATTTAAAATATTAATTATCAATAAAAAAATTTTAAAATCCTCAAAAATTGATTGAATGGTACTTTAAAATTTGGATGTTCTCTCAAAGTAATTTTTGGCCTATTCCTCTGATTGCTTAGTGCATAACATTTTTGCCCAATTTAGAAATTTCTTAGACAATATGTTTTTTCCCTGTCTGCCAAATATTTTAATTGCTTTTCCGTTTTATTTTGTTACCAATTGGAATTCAGAATAGATTTATTTCTAATGTTGTGGCAAACAATATTTTCGAACATTACCATGTAGTGTTCATACCCTTTTTCCATATGTTAATTTTAGGATATTAAGCAAAAAAATTTGTTAACACATCCTTCCGGTGTTGGCATTTATGCTGGTGGGCAATTTTAGAAGGATCCATTTTTGGAGTCCAAATTTCTCGGAGCAAATTTTGTTGGTGCCCGAATTTCGTAAGAATGACAATTATTTGCTGGTTAAAATTTTTTTTTTGGAATATATGTTATAAAAGTGATATTATCAAATGGATATCCATCCCTCCCCAGCCATTCATGTTGCCCCAGGTCTCGGACCTAGACTAGAATGTTAAAACTGATTGGGTTGGATTTAGCTTGGATCAAAAATTGTAAAAATGTCCAAGCCAAAACTAGGAGATTAAAAAATTAAGAGAATTTTTTTATATTTTACCATCTATCATCAAAATGATATATTTCAGATTTTTAACCGTGATAAGGACAAAATAATCAGTGAATATATTTACTATAATCAACTCATGTCCGGGGTTAGAGACGAAAATATTTAAATAGAATTCTACCACCCATATCAAGGAGGCATATCAGTAGAGAACTGCAAAGTAATTTTTTCGCAACCCGAGCCCGAATTAAAAAAAATTTTTTGTCCGAGCCCGACCCGAGCCCGAGCACACATTTTTTAGTCCAACCCGACCCGACCCGAGCCCGACCCGAATAAATAAAATTTTGCAATTTAAGTTTTAATATTATAATAACCAAAAAAAAATTTATGTGTATTTATTCAGTTTAGCCACCTTAAATAAAAGTTTATTTGACGGCCATAATCTATTCAAGATATATATTAAGTTGCATTTTATTAAATTTGTAAAAAATATTATAAAATGATTAATATACAAGCGAATTTAAAAATTATAACGATTATATAATACAATAAGCATCATTTATGCGAATATAGATATGATATAAAAGTTAATAAATATATAAAAAATATAATGAACATATTATATTATATTATATTGACCTCATCAATATCATTATCAAAATTATCACAAAGTGAATAATTATGATATATAAATAAAGAGGCGTCCAGTTAATCTGGCTTTAAACGAATCCTTCTATCCTCAAAGGCCCTACCTGGAAAACGCCCTTTCACTGCTAGCCGACGAAGCAGGGATAGCCAGGAATTTAAGAGCTAAAATACTTAAATTTGGAAACTCATAATGGTTTGTTTTCCACCATTTTAAAATATTATCGTCATCAATACATAAATTCGGATCTAGGTATTTTTAGCTCGTCAACTTCGGCGCTAGCATCAGATCAGAATACGCATTGTCAGCCTCCCATAGAGAGAAGTCCAAAAACGTATCTACCACCTCTGTAGTTTCTTAAGAAAAAAATATTCATTAATAATGTTCAGATATATATTTATTTTATTATTTTTTAATAAATAATTTTATTATTTTTTAATAAATAATTTTATTAATAATTTAACCATATTTTCATAAATTTGTTACCAGCACATCGACCCTTTTTCATATATGAGTTTAATATAGAAAATAATTTATTGCGGATACCATCAGCAGTATCTACTGAATTTCTAGAAATTGTCGTAGGATTTGGAATGATGCTTTTAACATCAATATTTCCATATATTGAACCAATTTTGGCAAAATATTGGCAACAATCAACAAAGCCTTCCCCATGAATTGTATCAAATGATCTCAAATCACGTCCACAAAACATAGTAAGCACCTTTGTGCACTCTTTTTTCAATTTTGTACAACTTTTGAGTTTTTTCGGATCAGTACCAAAAAGACTATCAATTGTTAATTGTGTCTTTTTACTCTCTGCTGTTGTACTTGTATTTGTATATACACATTTATGTCTTTTAAGTTGATTTGTTCTTAAAATAAATTTAATAAGTTCATATACCTGTTGTTATTGAATTATATACATAAATAAATTTGCATATAATAGAAATGACATAATTAAGCTTTTCTTTATTTTCATCATATATAAATGAAAATTTCTTCCATACATCGGATTTTCCATTAAGATTCTTCCTTACTTCATACTCCTTTGTCTTAATATTTTCACCAATTCTTTTTAATTTTGCATCCATTAAGATAATTTTTTTAATATGGCTGTGTTAAAAAAAATATTTAAAATGACTTTAATCAATTAGATTGAAATAAACAGAGTTGGGCAGTACTGCTAATACTTGTATCTAAGATACATGATACAAGATCCCTTTATATCTTGTACTCAGTATATTTTGACATTTTTAATAAGATACTAATATCTGTATCTAAGATCCTTAATTCTGAAAAGAATCTTGTATCTTTTTCATTTTCTTGACAAAAGATACAGATACAGATTCTTTTTAATATTCATGTTTTAAATTTTACATATCACAGTATACATCTTATTTTCTTTGAGAATCTTGTATTAATTTCCTAATTTTTTCTGCCATATTTTAAAATATTGACAACCAAAATTATCTGGAGAAAATTTATAACTAATATTAAGGTAGATAGATAAAAAAATAATAATACCAAAACGAAATAAGTAAAGATTATATTTTATATATAAATGTAACTTACCAATTTTATATAATATTTTTTAATTTCTAGGATGGGATGATTAACATTTATGGCAGTGAAATTTTAATTATAGAAATAAGTTCCCCTGAATCAAATCCCAATCTTAAATTTTATATGGAAATTTTTTAAAACAAATGTTATAAAAGACAATGTATAGGCTAGATAAATAATAAATAATGAATAAAACTTATCTTTAGTACATAAAATATGTCTTATCTTGTAATTCACGGGAAACACACAATTTAGTGATAAAATAGTTTGGTATCCGGTTGTTAGGTTTATAAAATAATAATTAATAATGACATGACATGTTAATATGATTGACATTTTAATCCTTAAATGTGATAAATATTAAATAATATATTATAAATTATACTGACTATTTAAGATATTAATATTATTATTTATTTTCGGGTCGGGTCGGGTCGGGCTACGGACAGCCCGTGCAGTTCTCTACATATCAGTACTTAAGGGAATAAAAAAAAATGTAAGACTATTATTGGCATTAATGGCTAGGATTTAATGATTTTTATTCTTGTATATAATATAATTAATTAGAACTTTTAATTGATTTAAGAAAAATTTATTATATTATTACTTATTATATATATATAAATATAAATATCTATTTTGTTATGGTTAAGAACTTATAAAATTATCAAAAAGCAAATATAGATATAAAAATAAATAAAAAAATTAAAATAAATAATAAAATTTTATGACAGGTAAAGGACACAAATAAAAAATAAAATAATTTCAAATCGAAATCTTATTTCGTTTATATTAAATACCTTAATAATATACACTAATTAATAATTTCTTAATTTTATTTTATAATTCAATAACATATATGTTTATTTAAAAAATTTCTATTATTTAAAACACTAATAAAATTTAAACACTTGTAAAAATGTTACAAATTGATTCTCCGTTATTAAGGGTAGGAAAATAGTTATATATATATATAATACTATTACAATATCAAAACAGATATTCATCATTTTAGCCTTCATTTCTTTAGCAATGATAAGTTGCCGAGTGCCTGAAGGTATGTGTATGAATCTAATTAATCTTTATATTAATAATCTCTGATATTCTTTAGTTAATTTTTCAATGACAAAATAAAACATATTTTGATATCAACTTTAGTATCATAAGTTCATAGCATAACCAATATTTATATGATATTATTTTTTTATTAATATAATTATTTTTCTAGAAGAATCTAAGCAAGTTCATTCTAGCAATAGTCGAGAAATGGAGATGACTGGTAAAAAGCTTGAATATAAAATATTTTTTAAATAAATAAATTTAAAAGGCAATATCCACTTTAATATAAGATATTATGGGTTGAGACTTGAGAGTAGTTTTTTTTAAAAATTTAAAATAGTTTCTAAAATATAAATAAGAGCTCTCAATGACAGTCTTATTATAAGAATTACTTAAACACATTATAGGCATCTATAAATATTTTTATCACTGTTATCAATGGATGGTAATTTTTTACTCTCAGCTAGCAATAATTCCTTTATTCAAATTTTATTTTAAACATTGATCGAGTTGAAAGGTTGGGCACTAGTTTTTTCAGTAGCGGTAGCTATAGAGTTCCAATTTTTTTTTAAACGGCGATGGAAGTAAAGCGCTTCTTGTTATAAAATAGCTAAGTAGCGCTCTATTTTCTTGCTTAATGAATTTATCATTGATATTTCAGTTTCTTTAAATAACCTATAAATGAATATGTACTAAAATTATGATGCTGCCAAGAAAATAGCTAATAATCAACAACAATAGTATTTTACAATTCAGATAAATACATATTGACATTGTACTCATATCCCACATTGAAGATTGACTATGTTTCATTATGAAATCATTTTCTTGAAAGAACCTATAAATGAATATGAAATAAAATAAGATGCTGTCAAGAAACACTTAATAATCAACAATAGTATCTTATAATTTAATTTCAATTTCATCCTTATATCAATATAAAGACATTTCAGATAAATACATAATATGTTTAACTACACAAAATGTTCTGTCTGTTCTAAAAACATTTCTGTTACCAAAAATGGGAAAATAAACATTTCTGTTACCAAAAATGGGAAAATAGCGACCCATGGCCTCCGGGAAAAATAGATGTCCTCTCTCAGGTGTCTCACTACCAATAGCCCAAATAGACCTTCCTTCATACAGCTACCCTGCTTTAATAATATTCAACCTGTTTTTGATGCACTCTCCCAATGCTCTACCAATAATTCTCCAATCCCAGTATGGATAAATGATCATTTTTATAACACACTACCCTTGACATTATCTAGGATTCCTCGAGGAGTTATAACACTCACAGCCAATAAACTAAATATGACTATTCAATCACTCAATAATAATATTACAAATGCTGACAACTGGTAAAACTATTTGAATTTTGTTTTACCCACTTAAAGGCTCCATCAACAAAATTTAACTTAACAAAACAAATTAAGTGTCAATTAAACAACTCAATCCTTAACAGCAATGCCTCTTGCTCTTCAAGACCTAACTATAATCATAACATCCCAAATTTAAAGGCTAAACTTATCAACCGTAAAATTAACGCATGTAATATTAAAGCAGCTTTAAATTTAGCAGTTTCCGAAGACACCATATCTCTTGACAATTTGGACACTATACTCTTATTACAATCTATACATCCCCAAGATTTTAATGAATTTCCACAACCACCTCTATCCATTCCTACTCCTCATTTAACTGTTATAGAAGTTACTAAGGCAATGGCCTCTTTCAGAAAAGACTCCTCAGGAGGACTTGACGGTTTTAGAGCTATATACCTTCAGGACCTTACCAAATCAACAACCACCAACATTGAACTTATACACAATATAACAACTCTACTCAATCATATTTTAAACGACAACATACCTTCTACAGTACAACCTCTTATTCACGGTGCACGCTTAATAGCCTTAAACAAAAAAGATGGCGGCATACGCCCAATCGTATATCTAAAATCATTTGTACCCGCATTAAAAACAAGCTCACCGAGCGTTTAGATCCCCATCAGCTTGGCTTCATCATACCTTTCGGTTGTGAGCGGCCTCCCACGCCACACGTATCCAACTTCACTCCACTAAAACTGTATACTAAAAGTGGATTTTAAAAACGCCTTTAACTCTTTAAAACGGAACACTTTCTCCCTATTTTCTGCAACGATTTTCCAGAATATTCTCCATATCTTTTTGCCTCTTATAACAATTCATCCTACCTTAAATTCAACAATACAATAATTGAATCAAGGCAAGGCATTCAACAGGGTGATCCCCTTGGACCTGCCCTTTTTTGCCTAGGTATCCAGTCTATCATTGAATCGATAAACCGTGAGACAAATTTGACCCTCAATGTTTGGTATTTGGATGATGGAACCCTTGCTGGTCCATATGATAAACTCCTTAAAATAGCGCCTATAATAAATAATCTAACCAATATTACAAGGTTGTCTCTTAATAACAACAAATGCGAATTTTATTCACCAGATGAAACCTTTATCGTTCCACATAACTTCACACCCATTAACCTATCCGGGTTCACACATCTTGGATCTCCAATAGGCGGCAATAAAGCAATCGAATATTTCAAAACAAAATTTCTCCGTAATTTGCACCTTTTACATAAAATCCTTCAAGTCCTTCCCTCCCATCAGCTTTCTTCCTTCTCTAAAACTTTTTCCTTATCCCAAAAATCCACCATGCCTTCCGCTCTGACCCACTTTTCTTATTCCCGGAAATTCTCACCCAAATAGAATCAACGACTCTTTAGAAGGCATCCTTAATATAAAATTCAGCCCTAATTCTTGGATGCAGGCATCCTTACCCTCTAAATTTGGGGGTCTTGGCTTAAGATCACTCGCGTCACTCAGTCTTGCTGCTTTTTTAGCCTCAGAATCAAGCTGCCGCTTAATTATTATATCACTTAACGATAACCCCACAGACCCCCACATTCCCCACGCCCTAACAATCTGGAAAGAGAATTCCCTCTGCTTCAATCCCCACATCACGAAACATGCCTGGGATCTTCCCTTAATATGCCACTCCGTTGAATATCTAATATCGAGTGCTGCTTTGGGATCCCCGTCAATCCTTTCACATTTATTATCTCCCATTACAGTTGATGAATCCTTAACAGTTGATCATCACCCTCTCCCGCAACTGCAAGTTTCACAACTTTTGCCTTCCCTATCGGGCTATGAATGGTTAGAAGCTTTGCCCAGCTCAAACTTAGGACTTCTCTTAACAAACGAAGAATTACACATAGCAATAGGTCTCCGTCTTGGTTGTAAAATACTGGCCAACTCCACATGTACATTATGTTCCCAACCCGTTGATTGTTTTGGACATCATCCTCTTCATTGTCAATTCTCTAAAGGTAGACATTCTCGACACAGTGCAGTTAATGGCACCATTCTCCGTGCTCTACGCTCAGCTCAAATTCTAGCAACCCTTGAACCCTGTGGCCTCTCAACCGAGAATAATACACGGCCAGATAGGCTGACATTAATACCATGGAGTATTGGAACTCCATTAGCATGGGATTATACTTGTATCGACCGATTTGCTCCCTCTTTTAATAACAACTCATTCGTGCGTACTGAAAACTCTAAAATTATCAAATACACTTCCCTAACTATTTGCAATCTCATAACAATCATATCCGACACAACCGGTTTTTTTGGGCAATCATGCCCTAACCTTCTTCAAATCTCTTGGTAAAAAAATCCGCCCATCACTGGTGACCCACAGGAAGGCGTCTATCTCACAGCGCATATCTATTGATATATGCAGATCTAACTGCATTGCCATCCAAGGCTCTCTTTCTTGACCTCCTCCCACCCAACATACAATTTACTATACTAATTATTTTTATTTTATTTTTTTTTATTATACAATTTTTATATATTTTACAAATAGTTTAAATGATATTATTTTTAATATATATTTTTAAATTTAATTATAAATAAGAGTGATTATACTTTCTTAAAAAAATAAAATAAATATACATAATAAAATTAAAATAAAATCTAAAAATTTCATATATTAATATTAAAATCGTATTATTCAATATTTAATTAATTTAATATAAATTTGGTGAAATACTAAAATTTATTTAAAATATAAGCTGCAGCCCATAGTGGTAAATCTAGAAAAGAAATTTTTCTGATAAAAAAATTTGCGAAATATTTTTAGCTTAATGAAAAACATCCAATAAATTAATAATCAATATTCATAAATTTTTATTAAAATAATTAATGTTTAATCCATAACTCAAATTTTAAAGGAAATATCTTAATAATTTTGGTTATTAATAGGGGGTTATACAACAAAATCAAATCTATTTCAAACTAAATTAGTCAATTCAACACCATTACTAAGTGGTGTTTTATGATCAATTTTACAATTGATTACAATTCAGCGAATTGCCTTTGTGTTGATAATATCTAATTTATCGATTATGATAATGACATAATCTACTTGATACCGAGATGTTTTACATAAAAAATAATAAAGTAATTAAGATTTATAATCTGAATAGAGCTAATTTAGGAGTAACCTAGCTATGAGCTAGATCTAAAGACACTAAAATATTGACTGCCAGACTAATAATGTACTTGCAAATATTTATTTTGGCAATCCATAGGGTCTTATAAAATTCAGTTTCAGAACATATAAATGAAGTTTTAAAAATAAAAATCTTCAGGTTAAATTTTGCGCTAACTTCTATAAGACATTGAGGTGTCCTTGTAACTGTACGCCCCAAAATTTCTTAACTGTTTCAATTAAAAAGTAATAAAATTTTAGATCAATAAGAGCATTGAAGATTACTATTTTTACTCTTGTTTTTAGAAAAATATAATTTGAAACAAAACATAAATACAAATTCAGATGATGTTAGAAGTATATATATTCTGACTACAAGATACCAAATTCGTTTAGGAGGCTGATCAACCAAGATATCAAGCTTAGATGCAATTTTTTTCGCCATGTGATGGAGATAAAGAAAAATTCTTTTTCATTTAAAATTTATATGATTTATAATTAATTTGGAATTAATAAATAGTAAAATGTTTTTTATTTTTATAAGGAAAAAAAATATCTAATTTTGTCTAAATTTTTGCTGTCGTCCCGAAAAACTTATTCTGGTAACCAGTAGATTTAGAAAATCTTTTTAATATATTATAGATCCCAGTTTATTATTTGTTTTGTTTCCGTTTTTTATTTCGTTTTTTATTTTTTTTGAAATTTCAAGCAAAGATTGTTTTTGCTTCAAACTCTATTAGCCAAATATAATTAAGAGTATTTTATATTTTACATACGTTTGAGCGATTTATATCATATTTTTATATTAAATTTTTTTAAAAATATTTATTCAATTTATAACAATTTTGGCTAATAAGCTATTCATTAATGTGCTTTCTAATGTGTTTTTAGATATTCTATATATCGATATTGTTGTATTGTATTGTTACGTTTCATAATGTACTCTCTCTAAATGCTTTGATTATTAATATTAATAATGTTATTTTTTTTTCTCTCTTTAGCTTTCACCTTTTCTGGTGGTAAGCTCCTTCAACATCTCTCTCCACTTTATGTTATTCATACAATCTCTTTTATCTAATTATATTGGCTCTAACTTTATGGCCCCATTGAAGTTTTGTCCTTCCTCTTTTACGTTTGCCAATCACTTCAAAACTCTCAAACTTATTTCTTATGTAGTTCATAGGCCTTCTCATTGTGTGCCCATACCACCTAAGTCTGTTTACCATTAACTTAGTCTTAATGGGCACTACCTTTAAACTACTTAGTATTCTTGTACTGCGCACTTTATCCTTTTTTGTTACCCCAGCAATTTTGCTCACCATTCTCATCTCCATAGTTTCTAGACTTCTCTCGTTTGATTCCTTGGTTGGCCATGTTTCCGAACTATATAGAATAGTTGGTTGTACTATGGAACTGTAAATTTTTCCCTTAATTTGTGTGAGATTCTTTTGTCAAATAGCACTCCAGATAAAGATCTCCACTTTAACCACCCTTGATTAATTTTACTCTTTATCTCTTTTTCTCTTTTTCTATTGTATAGTGGAGCCCAAATATTTGCATCTTTCAATAGCCGATATCTGCCATTCATTTATATCAATACTCTCTGTTTCATCTCCTCCTATCAACCATATACTCCGTCTTTTATTAACTTTTAGTCCTTGCTTTTCTAGGATATTTATCCAACTTATAATCTTTCTTTCATTTTATCCTTGGATTCGGCAAGTATCACAATATCATCAGCAAATATCATAATCCACGGGACTGTTTATTTTATGGACTTTGCCAGGCGCGTACGCAGGAATTTGGTCTGGGGGAGGGATAATAAAATATTTTAAGAAATATTATTGTTTTTTAAAAATATCAAGCATTTTATTAGAACTACAATTTCTACACAATTTTGAATTAATGTAAAAAAATTATATGTATAAACCGTCATATAAAAAACTATAAAGTAAATGTGAAATTAAAAAATATTAAACGGATATATCTGGCGGTATAGAAAAACTATAAAATAAATGTGAATTATAAAATATAAAGTTAATATAACCACTTTATGAATCACTTAAATGACCCAAAATAAATTTGAAAAATATTTAAATGTTTGTAATATAAATTGATACGTAAAATGTTTATAAGGAATAATTGTATTTTTATGTTATATATTTACATGTAAAATTCAATCTTCGTTGAAAAAGAGCTAATTGTTCCATTATCTCATCTTTGCTTGTCGTCAAATGATTTAAAATTTTTATTTATTTTTATTTTTTTATAATTTTTTATTCAAATAAAATAATATTAAAATTAACATATCAAATATAAAATAAAATAAAACAATATTATATAAAAACGGAGGTGGGACTACAAGTTCCCAAAAACATGATTAATTATATTTTAAAATAGTGATTTGTAGGTTTTATTTTAAAAAATTGAATCTTTTGGTTCTGATGTAAGGGCTCTTGTCTTATCGCCTATATTTTTTAAGAACTTCCGCTTGGCATATTTCCAAGGGAAGAGATAACGATCGGTGTAAATATATAATTTGTGAATTTGGAATATTTCTTTGTTTTATTATAATTTTTTGGGAAAGAGGATACACATGTGAAGTCCCAAATTAAGGATTTCCCTAAAGACCAAGGCACGGAGGTTAAGCCATCATCTAATGATAAATTTGTAGACTCCAGGATATTTGATATTCGAGCCCTGGTAAGAGAACGGTTAATAGCTAAATTAATTGCTGCATGCCTTACATGCCTGCCTTAACTATATATACAATTTAGACCATGTCTCCCTTTGGAGTCAACTAATATTTTACATTCATGCAAGGCATGCAGCAATTAATTATCAACCATAGTTAATTTTATAAACAGTTATTCAGCTAATAAGGCATCAAAAGATACCCTAACGTCTTATCCATCCTATATGAGCATCGCTCTTCATAAGGCATAAAAGTATATTTTTGTCTTTATGATAAAAATCTAACAAATATTTATATTTTTTCTATCATTATCTGAAAAAGGTTAAAAAGGCTTTTGTGGAAGTAATATCTGAGGATTTGTAAGTGCTGCATGATGAATTATAAACCATTCATTTATTTAGGTTATAAATATATCTAAGAGAGGGTACATTTGTTTTATAATACTCTCCTACTGATCCTATATTAATGTTTTAACGATGAGCTTGCCTTGCTGCAAGTCGATGTTTGGTGAATGTTAACACTAGCTAACACTCATAGTATCTATTACATAATATAATTATAGTTTTCCTGCCATATAATAAATACGCAAAGGATTAAATACATAAGGATTAGGCAATTGTAGCTCACCGCGTTAAATCTCTATTATCTAGAATACTTCTAGCCGCCAAACCTCTCTTCTCCTCTCTAATCAATACATCTGGGCGCTAATTTTTGTAAGTTATGCTTTTAACAATCTTCAGCTACAACTCACAAACAATGAGCTAGATTATCCAATTATTTGAATCCGCCTCAATTCAGAAAGTCATATCAAAGGGAAGTCCTGACTGCAGATCGTGGCTCTAGAGGCTAGGGAAATTAATAAAATCGGATTGATAATATTGAAGGAAAAGAAGGCGCTCTGCTATCAACAAAGACTAATTTATTAATCTTAATTAGCCATATAGGTTTAAGTAGAATAATTCCGATATTTCTTATCAATGAAAAAACACTATTTTTAGATATATTATCGGTTATGAGAACATGTAGCTCGATATGGATATCGCAATAAATGGGATGAGGGAATATATTGATAATAAAAATGAAAGTAATAAATGCCCCCATGATTAGAAAGAATATTGATTATATTAGTACAACTCATTGTAGTATTTCTGAATGTCGTGGCCATTACCTTATAAATGCCATTATGACTATATATTTTCAGTTTAATAATGATAAACGTTAAAGGCGCACCCTCTCAGTCAGTGGAATACTTCTCCATATATTAAAAAGTAGCTGACATGTCACAGGTCTGCACACGATAAACAATTAAAAGCGTACAGTTAATATTACTAAATATATTGAGAAATACCTGCGACGAGTAATGTAGACCATTTCTTTTATCTGTTCTTATTTATGCATTAATTATGAAATGTATTCTAAAAAATCACCTCTTTTTTGATATATATCATATACCTATTTTTTGCAATATTTTTAAATTTTAAATAATTTTTTAAATTTTATATACAATACAGATAAAATTTATTTTAAAATAAAAATTATCCATCTTTTGCCCGTTTTAGCATGCCCTACTTTATTTAGGCTTACTAGCGTCCCTCGCTGTTAAGGACTACAACAATACTAATGGATTAACTATTTGTAAATACTGATGTCAAATTACCTTTTGTACTGAATAAAATTCTGTATGGCGGTTGTTGCCTTCTTAAAAGTTGACTTTGGTCGGTTTATTATCTACATATGATATAGCCTTTCATATCACTATTTAATACATACAACAATTTTTATATATTATATCCTGGACAGATAGGCTTGGAACAACAGATTTTAATTTGTAAGCACTATTATTTTTGTTATATTTTTCGATTGTTATATTTTTTTTTAAAAATTTATTACCTTTAAAATGTGTTTGTCGTATTATCTTTATATTATTCAGCCCGTTATAGGGTACTTTTAATAATATGATAGGACATAGAGTATAACACCAAAAATTCCTGCTGTATGTAAAAGATTTATGTTTTTCCTTTGGAAAGTAGAACTGTCAGTGGGATATAGGATATAATAAGAAGGTCCAGCAGGTTTAAGCATGTAGATTAATGTACGTTTCTTTTAAAGGAACATCTTTTCTAATAATATTGAGCATTTTACAACTATATACCCCCTTGTCCACACTTACCTTAAACAGTGGTTACATTTTTGGGTTCAACCCAATAAATAATCCCATCCCCCCTTCACGCTGCTTAAATCTTAGCAAATTACTTAAAATTAACAATATCTCTAAAAGAAGGCAAACCCATGCTGCCATTTTGTGGCAATCGATTAAAAGTTTGTAGTAGCATTTTAGCCAAAATTTGGCTAAATCAAGGGTTTTAACAACATTCATAGTGCCTAGATTAATGATAAAACAGCTTTAATCTATTGAACCCAATCTTTAGGCTAATAGAGCATAGCTTGACTGTCAATATTTTATTTTATCTTGAATAAAAATGTATATTAATATATATTAGCAAAAATGTTTTACAAACATACCTAACCCTAATAATAACCAAATAAAATTAGTTATCATAACTATTTATTATGACAAATTTTGATTTATAAGCATCTCCTATTGCATAAATATTATAAATGTTATAAATACAAACGCGTAATATTCCAAATAGAATATTCAGTCACATTTATCATTTTTTCTCTGGTCTCTAATAATTGGTGTTCTTTCTTGCACGCTATGCTATAAAGCACAAAATTATTTTGGACTTCCAAAATATTGTAGGCAACGCCATTGTCAAAAATTGTCAGTGTGAAGTTTGAATTGTTTTGTTCGATAATTGCCTTATAAATTCGTTTATAAAATAGTTTTTTAAAAAAAAATACTCATTAGTAATAATTAAAATCACATATAATTAAATAGATAATTCATTTATTACAGATTGATTGATTCCCATGTAAACTCGAATTTCCGAACCATTATTGATGTCCATAAGCAGTAAAGAGCAAATAGCAGATATATTATTATTGACATATATTACCATCTTATTATTATTTTTTTATATAATCTAAATATTACCTTAAAAAAAATGTCGAAAAATATTATTGAATCGTAACAAATTTGTTAACCATATATCCCCCCATACGTCTTACTCAACTTACAAGATGCATATAATTTTAATATCGATTAGTTTTTAAATTGCCAAACATTTAGAAATATTGCTTGGAGATACAGATTTATTAATTTCACACGTGTTAACCCATCTCATTATTAAAAATAGATGGATAGTTTTAACCTAATTTTTTTTTTAGGATTCTCATTGCCTTTAAAATGTAGATAAAAAAATTTATATTATATTTTTTTAGGGGTCAATATGACCTTTGCAGTTGATGAAATATAAAAATTATCCCAGTAGTTCAAAGCTAGCTTCATATCTTCAAGTGGTATCTCGAACATTGACAAATTGTAACTAGATGCACTCCCAGAATAATAAAGAATGGAGGTGTAAGTTATATCTATGAATCGTGTGGAAGGATTAAATATGCTATAGTAAGAAAACAAGGGTAGATTTCTAAAATTAATAAAAATATTTATTCGTTAGTCTTATATTTATAAAAATTAACTTCATAAAAATTTTCGAATTTCCTTTGGACACGATCAAATTGTAAACTCCGTTAAATAATACATATCGGAAAACATCCCGTTTTTCAATGTACAGTGCTTATTAATTAAATATTAACTTAAAATGGATTATTTTTTTTAAATTTACTTTTTCCGAAATAAGATTTAAAGTTAACCAACCCGTGGCCTGAAGATAAAATTTCATAATATTTAATAAAAAAAAATAAAAATAATTTTTTTACTTCTCTCATTTCTGCCACAATTTTGTATTATGACATTAACATTGGGTCTGGACAGAGGAATTGAACTGATATTATTGTTGAACATTTTGAAATTTATGGCAATTAATTTTATGGGTGAATGTCTCATCGAACCTCTGTAAATTATGTATGATCCATGGATTTCGTAAACTTGAAGGGGTCCCTTGTTTGGCTGCACAAATCGTAACTACAAAAAATATTCGATCAATAAAAAAAAAAATTGTTTTTTAGAACTTTTTTGATACTTACACTTGTGACTGTATCGTCAGTAGTATTTATATAACTGTTAATATTATAAATGTCGATATCCGCTGAATCGGATGGTATTCCATATGTTGAGTTCGAATCAATATCTTCATCGGCGAGGATAGACCATAAAAACTTGGGATCCGTGTCTATATAATACTGAGCATTAATAAATTAGAACTTGATTTTAACGGATTTTTAGAAATAGGAGTAAATCAAGATTTTAGTATAATAAATATTTCATTCATAATTTTGTCTAAAAACGGCCAAACCCTTTTGCCATCTAATTTATAATTCATAGAGGCCTAGGTAAATATCGGGCTAAAATATTGTCGTTTTTAAAAAATTGATTAATGTACATAAATTTAGTAAGGATACCTATTTCGAATTATATTTAAACTTTGTCGTAAATCATTCCAAATCTCTAAGGTTTAATTGAAGTTTGAAATGATATATTTTAGTATCCAGCTAGTTATAGTAACTGTCATAGGCGTAGCCAAAATTTTCCTAAGGGGGGGGGGATAAAAAAATTTTGGGGGCTTAGCCCCCAGACTCTATTTTGACCCTCTTTCACCCAGTCTTCGGCCGGGTTAGTCTATGTATAGTCATACATTATTTTAAAAGATAGGAGGTTAAATAAGCCTGGAACAAATATGAAATATATTTTTATTAGTTTATTTGAAATATAATAAATTACTTGCATATACATTAGTATAAAAGCATGGTAATAATTTATTCCAAACAAATGTAAAAAAATTTATTTATAAAGAGTAAGTAGACATTTAGTTGATATTCCTCTATTATATAGAATTGGTTACAAAAAATTAGGTAAAATTCCACTTTTACAGATATATTTGACAGTTAGAGAATATATTACAGTTAATATTTTAATAAATTTTACTAATCAATGCTCTTGATAATTAATATAACAACAATTGCATTCAATTATTTAATTCCATCTATTTATTTTAAATAAAAAATGATATATAAATTAATCTTCATATTATTCATTCCACAATGTCTTTAAGAGATATTTTATGACTTATCAATATTTTATAGTTTTCTGTAAAATAAAAGAAATAAAGTTCTTTTTTTCTTCCTTACTTTCTTTCTTTCTTTCTTTCTTTCTAGCTATATTGGTAAGAATTACTTGATTGTCATATGATAATTAATAAAATTTGATATACTGTAAATCTACGACATTTAATATTCCACTCTTTGTATTGAGCTTCAATTTTTTTATTTAATTTATGATTTAATTTTATCAATAGTTATGTAATTATATTTTACTTTTATTAGGATAAATAAATTAAAATTACTCACTTTATTAAAAATTATATTTGATATATTATATTATTTAGTAATTTTATGGGTCTATTATTATAATTATAATATATTTCATTTTTGGCTTATATTCCACTTTAAAAACACTTTTGGTTCACTTTTTTATATATATAAATGCTTTTTTTCCAAAAATGTATAAATTATGATAAATAATTTTAGTTTAAAAAAATATCAGCTTTTATATTTTTTCTTTCAAATTATTGTTTAAGATATATGCATACATTTTTGGGGGTCAGGGAATGGGAAGAGGACTAAGGGTGATATTTTTTATTAGCTGAAAATGATATTCAGATTCACAAAAGTGATAAATTTTAAAGGGGGGGGGGAATTTTCCCTTGCCCCCCCCCCCGGTTACGCCTATGGTAGCTGTGCTAAATTTTTATAAAAGGGATAGCTAAAACGAGTAACTTAATTTCTATTTTAAAGTTTTAATTAATTTGTTGAAAATGATGAATTATAATATATTTTTTATAATCTGAACAAAAAAACTGATCAAATTTCTACTACCAATTCCTTTAACCTCCTTTAAATTCCTTTGGTTTATTTAAAACTTAAAATCTAAAAAGGTATTTCCGATGGATGATCATGATTTACTAAAAATAGTATTGATAATTAATTTTTGAGATCATCACTATCAGACCCTCACACTATATTTAAAGAGATTCTTATATATAATATTTTTCTAATCCAGTCCCTCCCTTTAAGAAACTATGTAGTTCTTTCGAAAAACGTTTTTGTATCTATTAAATACAATTTTATTATAAAAAATCTTCTATAAGAGTGCTATATTTTTTAAAAAATGGTTAAAAGTAATAAAAATAGTTGTAGCTTACTATTACTCACTTTAGCTTTTCTTATCACACAAAATTTTTTTTAATTTATTTTATTACCTCGGTGTTAAGAGCAAAAGTAATCATTCTTAGATTATTTGAGTACATTTCATCAAGGTTATATTTGTACAAATAATTTAAGGAATCAATAAAAATATTTTGTGGCATCTCCCATATGACTAAATCATCCACCAATTTCAATACAGCATCACTAAAATATCTTAATTTTGAAATACAAAACTTGTATATAATAATTAGGTTTATAAAATAATTGTTCCAAATGTAATTAGATATGTTAGCGTTTTTTTTTTCGGTAATGTGTTATTTTTACAATTTTAAATCATGTTTTAAGCGCGTTTTTTTAAATTTAATAAATCTTATTTTACCGAAAATATATTCTATCATGTATGGAATACCTATCAAATGAATTGAAGACAATTTTTGCTGCTAACCTTTGAGTCATTTACAATTTATATAAAAAAATATATGGAAAATTTAATATAAATTATATTAAGTTTAAAAGTTCGTGGAAAAATTGTATGAAATTTATACGGTAGGTATTCCAAACATGATAGAATATATTTGCGTTAAAATTAAATTTATAAATTTTAAATGATATAAATTTAACACATTTCCGGATAATGATGCTAACATATATATATATATCCTGCTCTATTATATAATTTACAAATAATTATTCTATAATTTACATTTTTATGCGATGCCCTTATATTATTTTGTTAACCATTTATAAATTTAATATGTGTTAAATTTTTAATATATTCTAGCACCTATAATAACCAGAGTTGTTAAAGTATGGTTAATGATGCTTACTACTAAGTCAACGTAAGCAATTTTCTAAAAGTCAGCCAAATTTGCTAAATATCAATCAAAATTTATTAAAATGTAAAAAGACCCTTATTATTTAAATATATTATAACGGAATCACGTGGTCGAGTCTGGCCTCTCATCCCCCCCAAAGACGGAACCACCAAGTTAGATTAAGAAGAAAAAAAATGATCTGTCGGGATTCGAACCCATGATTATCGGATTGGTAAGCGAGGCTCTCGCCGACTAGGCCACAGAAGCTTTCTAAAAATCACGATTTTTCAAATATATATTAAAAATAAATTTGGTAGTGCTCATCCAAATGGAAAAAATAAACAAAATAGAAATCTGTTAGGTAATACCTTAAGATAGTAACATTAACCATTAAGTATCTTAATATAAAAATGAGGATATCTGTATAGCATACAAAGATTAGTCGATGAATGATCAAGGTCTTCAATTGATTGCAAACTAATATCTTATGTGAAAAAAAAAACAAATTATTTAATATCCGATTTTTTTCCAGTTACTCTACAGCATTGTTTATAATGATTTAAATTTTGATATTTAACAAATTTTAAATAATTTTATCAAAAATGAATGTCGAGATTTAAGTATTTTTAAAGCATATCCAAATATAAAATTGTAATCCATAAAATATAACACCACCACCTCCTCAAGCAGCGCCTAGGTAGAAAGACTTTTCAGAGTAGCTACAAATGTGTTTACAGATAAATGAGGATGTCTTAATGACCATATGAAAATATATTATTACTTGAAATTCATTATTTATTTATAATCATATTTTTTAATGCATTATATTATTATATTAAAATCTAAAAATCAATATTTTAGTTATATTTTGATAAATGTGATATTGAGTCACTATATTTATTTTAAGCTCATTTCTTTCATAAATAGAATCCTAATTTAGGTTTATGCATACCTTATATAAGAGTATGATTATTTAGATACATTCCTAAATATGTATCTATTTTAGACTATATATTTGTATCTAAATTCATTTAAAAAGAAACTTCTCTAATAATAAATGAATATCACACAAAGTATTAATGTAATAAAAATTAAATCCTTAAACAATATTAATTCCACAAATCTCAGCTGGTAGACACAAAAATTTACTTGATCATTATGATATTTATACAAAACTATTTTATTTTTAAAACTAAATATGTTTAAAAAATTATATATATATATATATATTATAAGGTAATACTCAGAGGAGTTGAAGTGTTGATTGAAGGGGTAAAAAGTTGGATATTGAATTTGACAAAAGTTTACTAAAATATAGCTTGTATAGTAATAATGTAATTTTCTAATTTATGTCTCATTAACCTGTAGAAAATGCTAACCGTACCGAAGTAATTATCCATAAAATTAGAATAGTGTAATTTAGATTTTTAAAGAAAAACATCATGATAAAAATTAAAAATTTTAAAACTGATCAATATAAATGTTTAGAGAAATTAATTATTTTATTATTCTTTCTATGTAGTACGTTCAATCTTAAACCATTTAATTAATAATTAGTTTTAATGAAGAAAAAAATTATATTATATATATATATGCTGTGGTGTTAATTTATTAAAGTTCATTTTAATATTTTTATCTTTGATTTTAAAATATATTTTTAATTTAATAATATTCGTAATTCGTATATTTAATTTTTCATTTTTTTTACATTTTTTTTGAACAAAGTTTTGTATGAAGGAAAAAAATAATACACAAAATTAAAAATATTAGAAGCTTAAAAAAAAATTGATTGCCAAATATGGAAAAAAGATTTTAATATTAATTTTATAAATTATTTTCTAAAATTACTCATGGCCTCCCAAGATCATTATAATCAAACCACATCGATTAACTAATTCTGAATAGTGATATTTGATAAAAGTAATTAGCTTTGTACCAGGAAAAAATAATTTGTATATTGTAAATCTCTACAAATCAATAAAATTGTCCAGAAAAATTGAAGTGTTGATAAAGCAAAATGTTAATATTTATACATAGTTTTATTCTTTTTATATATCAAAGACCTGAAGGTCAGGCGGTTTTTTATTTTTTTGAATATACCAGGGCCGGACCTAATAAATTTTCTTAAAAAAGTATTAGGGCCTGGTCTAAAAAAAGGTCGTTTATTTTAAAACTAAATATTTTATTTTAAAACACGGGGTAAGGTAAGTCAATAATTCTTGAGTTGACATTACCTCTGGTAAATTATAATATCGGATATAAGTTAAATTATAGGATTCGAGAAGGCGAACTGAATATATTAATTACTACTTTTATAACTAGACATATTTCCTCATAATTATAAGGAAATGGCTCATGGTTTATATCTGGTAATATATATTTTTAATGTAAATTATGTATCATTTATAATGTATTATTAAGAATGGGAATATATTTAACCCATTAATGGTCAAGATTTTTTAGTGGATAAAAATGCTCAATTTTTTCAAATTATATTGATTAATGCTCAAATATGATATTCTAAAAAAATCAGCCAAAAAAAATAATCCTAAATAGAAAATCTAACCTGGTGCATATATATAAAATACTATAAGATCAAAAAACAACAAATATCTTTATTCTTTTTTTGTAATTTATAATAAAAACGAGAAAATGTTTATAAAATCCTTGAAACATTTAATATGGAGTGCGATTTGACATGTTTGGCACATATATCTTGAGTGCGTATGGCAATATCTGCATCTTCTTCTTTTTCCATCTATAATTTTGGATAAATAATGTCAGGTGAATCAATAGGGTTTTCACACTGTAACGCAAACTGGCTGGCGTGACCTGTATTTAAATTTTTTTCAATTTTTACTGGCGTTCGAAGGAGGTAGTTAGTAACTTCTCGTCTAAATGCAAGCAAACTCTTCTTGTCAACTCGATTCACGAATTTCCATATTTTCCATGAATTTACCAAAGCTACATCAATAAAATTGGTTAATATTGGCCACCACTATTTTTTTCCTCTTATTTTTATTCTATATGTAGATATTAGATTATCACACAGATCAACTCCACCCATGTGTTTGTTATAAGCAGTTACCATATTTGGCTGAGGAATTTTTATTTTAGAAGATATTTTCTTAGAATACCTTGAAACATTAGAAAGCAAAGAGATAGTGTGGCATGTCGATGCAACGGTCACCGCCGAATTATCATTCCAACGAACTACAAATATTTCGTTTAATTTTTCAAACCTATAATCATAATATCCTCTTACTTTTTTGCTACAACCTTTATAGTTTCAACTGGGCAATGCTCTATTCTATCTCACAGTTCCAGTTGCAAAATATCCCATTTGTTTTAAGTATGACAAGAGTTTAAATGATGTAAATAAATTATCAAAATAAATTTTATGATAATTTGCTTTTTGCAATACCTTTAATAATTTTATGATTACATTTCCACCTAATCCATATTCATATTTATTTTCGCTTTTTCCTTGATATATATCAAATGAGAATACGTAACCGTCGGAAAAAGCCAATATCCAATACTTGTATCCGAATCTAATTTCCTTTTATGAACATTTTGCAAGAATGTCTTCCTCGATATGGTATCATTTGTTCATCTATTGATAAATGATGTTTGAAAATTCCGAATTGCTGAAATTTATTATTCAATATATTTGTGTAAGGTCTAACTTTATAAAATCTATCATGTATATCTATTTTAGTATGGATATTATATTTGATATTTCGAAATTGTAATTGGATCATTTTATCCTGGATTATTGGAATAGAAATATCGCTATCATTAGACCAGTACATTTTTTCTTGTGTGAGAGAATGATATCCAGTAAATAATAGAATTCCAATAAATCTCTTAATATCTTGGATGGTTATGCATATGTTAGGTTTATTCATTTGTTTAGCATAAATATTACTTTGTTCTACAATTAGGGAATATAAGTTTTCGTCGAAAATTATAGAAAATATATCTGATGGACTTTTACCATGTAAAACATTTTCAAGTTTTATTACATCTTCCTTTTCTCCATTGAAAGGGTTTGAAGAATATATTGCATCCTTTTTTCTCCATTTTAAATTGTGAGAAATTTGAGAATAGCTTCTTGTAGGAAGGTCGTCATCAACTGAATTATGAATCTCTAATTCTCCAGCTGTATCTGAAGGCAAAACTCCGACATTTGTTAAGTCATTTTCATCGAAATCTTCTTCACACTAACTGCAGAGGGGTTTGGCGGAATTATAACCATATCTCTTTCTTCAATTGATTCCTCTTCAAAAAGTTGAGCAAGCGCTTGTTCAATTGTTAGAAAACGTTTCATTAAAAAAATTTATTAAAAATTAAATATTAGACAAATTATTTTCGTAGAATCTTGATTTTTTTATTACATCTATTATTTTTATAATTTTGATTGAATTGACAAAACAGGTGCAATATTTTATATATGAATAAAATAAAATCTTTAGCAAGGAAGGCTAAAAATAATTTTAAACTTTTGAATATTTATGAACCTAATTATTTCATATAATTTGATCGGGATAAAAAATTATAATAGGAACAATATATTATTCGATTTAATCTCAGGGGGTCAAAAAATTTTTTTTAATTATTTTCAAAAGGTCTTTTTTT